TTCTCTCCTCCAGTTAGCCACAGGGCTTCAAGCCTCATTCCCTCTAGACTCTTCCTGCCGCTTCCCCACCAGTGTCTCAGGCTACTGCAGTTTTGCCTCACCTCCCTTTCCAGTGCTAGTATGTAGACTTGGTGGCTGGGGTCCTGAGCTGTGGGTGCCTGTGCCCTCCTCGTAGGTCCACTGTGTCCCACTAGTTCTGGAAGAGTTTCCTCTGCAGTTTTTTTCCTAACTCTTCCCTGAAGCTACAGGATCTCCACTTTTATTAAACTGTCTTTTCCCAGACTATCAGTGTGCTCCCTCCCTGTTCTGCCATCTTGGAGGAAGCCCCGAATCAAGCTAATTAACATATTATCTCACATACTTATCATTTCTTTGTTGTGAGAAAACAAAATCTACTCTCAGCTTCAGGTATACAATGTAATATTATAGTCATCATAATGTATAATAGATTTTTTGGACATTTGCCACTTGTCTGACCAAAGGTTTGTATCTTTTTACCATCATTTTACCACTTCTAACAGAGTCCCTGTTCACCACCATTCCACTCTTAGTTTATTAGAGGTTGACATTTTTTAGGTTCCATATATAAATGAGATCATGTGGTTTGTGTCTTTCTGTTCCTGGCTTATTTCACGTAACATGATGTCTTCCAGTTTCATTCATGTTGTTGCAAAATTTTCATTTTAAAAATATAGAAGTATATTCCATTGCTTATATACCATATTTTCTTTACCATTCATCCATTAGTTTGAAGTATCCAACAGACACTTCTATTGAGCCTATTTCTTGACTATTTTGAATCTTGACTACAATAAACATAGAAGAGCAGATGTCTTTTCCAGATTTATTTCTTTTCTTTTGGAAATCCAGCATTGGGATTGATGAATCAAAAGGTAGTTCTATTACATGCTGTTTTGCAGTATGACTGTACACATTTACATGCCCACTAACACTGTGCAAAGTTTCCCTTTTTAAGCAAAAAGGGTGTTTTTTTTTGCACACTGACCATTCTCACTAATATTTGTCATCTTACATCTTTCTGATATTAGCCATTCTAACAGATGTGAGGTAATATCACATTATGGTTTCAATTTGAATTTCCCTGATGATTAGTGGTTTTGAACATTTTCTCATATACCTATTAGTCATTTGTGTATCTTTAGTAAAAAATATCTATTTGGATCCTCTGCCCATTTTATATCTAAGTTTTTCTTTTTCATTCTTTCTTTTATTGTTACTGAGTTGCTTGAGTTCCTTATTTATTTCAAATATCAATCCCTTATCCAATGTATGGCTTGTAAATATTTTCTCCTATTCTGTAAGTCATCACATTACTCTGTTGATAGTTTCCTTTGCTATGCTATGTAGATATTTTTGGTTTGATGTAGTCTCATTTTTCTACATTTTTTTTGTTGCTTGTGCCTTTACGGTCACATTAAAAAAAATCATTGCCCAATGTCTGGAGATTTCCCCCTAGTTGTTCTAGTAGTTGTTTTAGAATTTCTGGTCTTATGTTTATGTGAGCTTCTGCATTTTCAGGCTGAGTCAAGGAATATAAACTGGAAAAGACTTACGAGTGGACAATGATATAGGAGAGTTAAAGAAGGAAGGAATAGTTCATGACATGGAATGATATGCATTATATTGTTAGAAAAAAAGGAGGGGTGTCTTTGGACATGAACCCAAGAAGCAGTTTGTAATCCCAATAAGAACAGTTGAGTTTCAGTGGCCTGATTAGGACAGAAGAAAGAGTGAATGGGAAGTAAGGAAATAGAGACAAAAAAAATGTATAAAGAATAGTTTCTATGAATGGAAACACTTGTTGGAAATATTAATCATTTTAAATATGAGGTAGAAAAGATTAATTTATACCCATGGAATGATGCAGAAGAAAAGGAAAGATTGATGCTTCCATTAAGAGAAGAGATACTGGAAGAATAAGGTTCTTGATAAAGTGAAAGATGCAAATGAAAGATTTATGTATTCTTTGATTAAAAAAATAATCCTTTTTTCTTTCCTTTATTCTGAATAATTTGTGTGGAATTTTGTTTATTTGTTTTGTTTTAGTGTAAAGATTCTCCTCTTTTTATCTCTAAAGAATGTACCTTTTGCAGGATGGTCCATGAATAAATGCTGAATAAGCAAATATACTTTAGTGTAAGCATATAAATTATTATATATCAAAGGCATATCAGGAAAACAACAAACTAGTTTGTCCTCTGTTACTAACACACAGCATTTAAGAAAAAATAATTTTGTGACCCAAATGTGTAGGTGTTTTTTTTTTGCACACTGACCACTTCTCTGACAGCAGATAAGTACTTAAAATTAGATGTAATTCTCACGTTATCTACCTGGAGTTAGAGTCAGATCTGACAGCTTCAGGGTTTAGTCCCATAGAATTGTCCCTCATTTCACATTCAGTCACAACTCTGTGTCCTTAGTGCTCCTAATAAACAGGCCACATGTTGGAGATTCCCATAATCCCCTTCTGACTTTTATCATTTAATAGAGTGACCCACAGGACCGAGGGAAATGCTTTTCTTGTTACTGACAGTTTGTTTATAACAATGGAAATTCTAAGGGACAGAAATGAATAGCTTTACGAGTAGCTACAAAAACTGAGATTTAGAAGCTCTCAAGTGCGGAAGTCTCTGTCCCCAAAGGATTGGGTTGGCATGTAGATGTGATAGCAATTCAGAAGCTCTCTGGAGTTCAATTTGGCGAGGAAGGGTAGATAATAGTAATGAATATGACATGTGGCAAGACAATGGACTTATTTAAGAAATGTGTGTAGAGAGATTATGCTCTCTTTATGAAACAGAGAATGACATTTTAAGAATTTTAGACAAGACTAATTTGACTTATAGTACTAACATTTTTCAATATAAATTAATAATATTGCAATCTGATAGTGGAGAAATTAGTAAATACGTAGAAGATAATAATGATTAACATAATCTTATAAAATTATTGAAATTTTACTCAAGTGTAACAACATCTGGGGAACAAAAGACATTTTCAGGTTGAGAGAATCTCATTGCAAAGTTAAGCAGCCGGGAGAAAGCAACATGTGTTGTGAACAGTGGACAGTCTGACAAGCGAGTAACCATGGGGTCATTCAAGACTAGAAATGTGGATTTGACTATTAGTGTGAAAAATTTTCAATTCATGACCTAAGAATTTTAATATATTGCTGTGAAATCAGAGCAAAGAATTCTGTATTTGTTTTTGTGTTTTTTTTTTAACTTTTATTTAGTAAATATAAATTTCCAAAGTACAGCTTATGGATTACAATGGCTTTACCCCCCATAACTTCCCTCCCACTCACAACCCTCCCATATCCCACTCCCTCTCCCATTCCATTCACATCAAGATTCATTTTCAATTATCTTTATATACAGAAGATCAGTTTAGCATATATTAAGTAAAGATTTCAATAGTTTGCACCCACATAGAAACACAAAGTGTAAAGTACTGTTTGAGTACTAGTTATAGCATTATTTCACATTGTACAACACATTAAGGACAGAGATCCTACATGAGGAGTCAGTGCACAGTGACTCCTGTTGTGGACTTAACAATTTGACACTCTTGTTTATGGCGAGAGTAATCTCCTTAGGCTCTTGTCATGAGTTGCCAAGGTTATGGAAGCCTTTTGATTTCGCTAACACTCATCTTATTTAGACAAGGTCATAGTCAAAATGGAAGTTCTCTCCTCCCTTCAGAGAAAGGTACCTCCTTCTTTGATGATCCATTCTTTCCACTGGGATCTCACTCACAGAGATCTTTCATTTAGGTCCTCTTGTTTTTTGTTTTTTTTTTTTTTTTTTTTTTTTTTTTTGTGCCAGAGTGTCTTGGCTTTCCATGCCTAAAATACTCTCATGGGCTTTTTAGCCAGATCCCAATGCCTTAAAGGCTGATTCTGAGGCCAGAGTGCTGTTTAGGGCATCTGCCATTCTATGAGTCTGCTGTGTATCCCGCTTCCGATGTTGGATCGTTCTCTCCTTTTTAATTCTATCAGTTAGTATTAGCAGACACTAGTCTTGTTTATGTGATCCCTTTGACACTTAATCCTATTATTCTGATCAATTATGAACTGAAACTGATCACTTCTTGTAGTGAGATGGCATTGGTACATGCAAACTTGATGGGATTGTATTGGAATCCCCTGGCACGTTTCTAACTCTACCATTTCTGGCAAGTCTGATTGAGCATGTGCCGAACTATACATCTCCTTCCTCTCTTATTCCCACTTTTATATATAATAGGGATCACTTTTCAATTAAATGACAACTCCTCTAGACTTGGAAATTGTATGGATATTGAATTTGACTTCAAAGGGTACCCACTGGGAGGAATGATAAGTAACTGTGAGTGTTTCACTTGAAATCCTTGTGAAGAAGTTCAGAATAGCAAAATGTAGCATGCTTTAGATACTTGGGTTGTTAAGAGATAGGTACAAGTATGTATTTCTTTTTCTTAGACTTTTAACCTTTGCCTTTAAGGTTTATAAGATTGCTTTGTAACTTATAAGATTGCTTTATAGCTTAATGTGATTTATGCAGCTTTTCTAAACAACTCTCAAAATCTTTTCCTTTTAAAAGCTTTTTAGAAATCACTAAAGATATAGTTTTCTACCTGACTTTCATATTCTGTAGATCTTTAAGCCAATTCAATATGAAAAACATCCTCTAAGGTTTTGTGTTTTAGAATGCTTAATATATTGAGATGGATGTGGTATAGAAAGCTTGTTAAGACTTCCTTTTGTGAAAATTCAGATCTGAGCCATTGACTTAATAGTGAAAAAGGAATGGAATATTTGGTGAAATAAGAAAAGAAAGAAAATAAATGTTTCCGGGCCTGTGACCAGGAGAGAAAGGTAAAACATTGCTCTGAAATTTTGAATTTGATTGACTGTACCAGTTGAGTGATAGAGAAAGGACAGTTCAGGACGCATTGAAGTTATAACATAATGGTAAGTTTCCTTCCAAACTTACTGGACTTCCTGCATTGGCTGAACATTGAGTGTCAGGATTTAGTAAGCTGATGACAACATGGTGAGAGCGCAGGGCTGGAGATCATGAATTTGGAGACATTGGTATAACGGTGATAGATGAAGCCATAGAAGTATTGCCTTTTGAGGAAATTGTACAACTGTGGAAAGTAAAAATAGCGATAAATAAAAAAAAAATCAGTGTTCAATGGTATTCCCTTCCTTTCCTTTATAGTCCTGAAAATTGACATCATATGAGAAACTGGTTGTTTAACAGGCGGAATTGATAAGATGAATGGGTGGAGTCTGTGGCAGAGACCAGAGATTTTGGCAAGTAAGTACCTACTCATATTAAAAATACTGATTGCAAATGTGAATCCTGGAAACAAACATAGGGTAAAAGTACTTATCTTAAAAGAAATTTATTGGAGATAATCATAATATGGGTGACTTTCTGAATATAGTAACTTGTAGTTGAGGCTATGAGATGTATTTAGGTATAAAATTACTCACATATTAGGAAATAGATTCCATTTTCTTCAAGAATACTAATAGGTTCTGCAAATGGGAGTTGGGAGGAGCTGAACAGCTGGAAAGCAGATGGGATTAACACAGAGTGAATAGAAAATTCATTACTAAAGAGAAATATTTAATCTTACATGTTTTCTATTTGATTTGGTGGCTTTATAGTGGAATTTGAGGTCTTATTTGGCAGCTGAATGGACTTGGGTTTTGCAATAAAATTTATAGGTGGTATAATGTGCTTTTGTAGAGAATGATAGAGTGTCTGTTATCATAACATCTCTTCATAAGAACTTCTGTTACCAAATTTTGCAAACACAAAAATTAGTAACAGATGCTAAAGCATTTAAATGTGACCTATCTATATATGTATATCTATTATCTCTATCTCTATTTCTATTTTTATATCTATCTCTATCTTTATCTCTATCTATATGTTGTAGAGACAGAGAGAAAGAGAGACATAGAGAGATCACAACTGCTGGCTCACTGTCCAAGTGCCTGCAATGGCCAGAGCTTGGAGCCAGAAGTCAAGGAGCGTGGAACCCACCAGGGTCTCCTGTGTAGGTGGTAGAAACTAGACTACTTGAACCACCACTTTCAGCCTCCCAAATTGTGTATTAGTAGGAAACCAGAATTGGAAACAGAGTAAGGACTGAAACCTAGACACTCAGTTATAGATTGTGGATATCATTCCCTGTTTATCTTGTGTAAAATAATCCCTATCACCTTCTATTTAGTCTGTCAACCTTTTTCTCCATACCACTTATCTACCTAGTGTATTTCATATCACACTTCTTTATTTGTTCATCACCTATTTATTGGCTTAGGTCTTATGGTTATAAAGGTCAGTCTATAGCTTCTTACTCACTATAGTGCTCATTTGCCGTTGTACCTGATACAAAGTAGAGTTCAATAAATACTTTTTTTAATTTTTCTTTTTATTTTTATTTAATGAGCATAAATTTCCAAAGTACAGCTTATGGATTACAATAGCTTCCTCCCCCCCATAATTTCCCTCCCACCCACAACACTCCCCTCTCCCACTCCCTCTCCCCTTCCATTCACATCAAGATTAATTTTCAATTATCTTTATATACAGAAGATCCATTTAGTGTATATTAAGTAAAGATTTCCACATTTTGCTCCCACACAGAAACACAAAGTGTAAAATACTATTTAAGTACTAGTTATAGCATTAATTAAACACCTAAGAGTAATTGTGTATTAATTACAGAGTTCAACCAATAGTTTTAAATAGAATATAAAATGCAACTTTGTATTGTTGTGGCTTCCCCCCCAACCTCCCTCCCTCCTGTGGCCCTCCCCTCTCCCACTCCCTCTCCAGTCCTGCCCTTCATCATGTTTCATTTTCATTTACCTTCATATACTGAAGATCAACTTAGTATATACTAAGCAGAGATTTCAACAGGCTGCACTCACACAACCGGACCAGGTATAGGGTATTGTTCGACTAGTAGTGTTGTTTTTGAGTTTCATAGTTAAACACATTAAGGACAGAGATCCTATGTGGGGAGCATGAACCCAGTGACTCCCATTGTTGATTTAACAATTGGCACTCTTATATATGATGTCAGCAATCACCCGAGATTCTTGCTATGAGCTGTCTAGGCTATGGAAGCCCCTTGAGTTCGATAACTCTGAATTTGTTTAGTCAAGGCCATATCACAGTGGAGGTTCCTTCCTCCCTTCAGAGAAAGGCGCCTCTTTCCTTGATGGCCTGATCCTTCTGCTGGGGTCTTTTTTACCAGGATCTTTCATTTAGATTGATTTTTGCCACTGTGTCATGGCTTTCCATGCCTGTGACTCTCATGGACCTTTTAGTCAGATCCGAATGTCACAAGGGTTGATTCTGAGGCAGGAGTGCTGTTTTGGGCGTTTGCCATTCTATGAGTCTGCTGTGTCCTGCTTCCCCGGCAGGATCATTCTCTCCCTTTTGATTCTATCCTTCATTATTTGCTTACACTGGTCTTATTTGTGTAATCTCTTCGACACTTACCCTATCTTTTTGATCGGTTGTGTATTTATACTTATCAATTTACCAAGTGTGCTGGCATTGGTACCTGCCTCTTTGGTAAGGTTGAGTTGAAATCCCCTGGCACATTTCTAGTTCCACCATTGGAGGTAGGTCTGAGTGAGTATGTGCCAACCTATATATCTCCTCCCTCTCTTATTCCCACTCCTATGTTTCACAGAGATCAATTTTCTGTTAATTTTTAAACACTTAAGAATGGTTGGGTATTGATTGCAGAGTTCAACCAGTGGTCTTGTGTAGAGCAAACCGAGCAACAACAACAACAACAACAACCACAAAAATACTAAAGGAACAAAATAGTAAGTTGTTCCTCAACAGTCTAGACAAGGGCTGCTCATGTCATTCTTTCTCATAGTGTCCATTTCACTTCAATGGGTATCATTTTAGGTGCTTGTTCAGTTGCCATTGATCAGGGGGAACATGTGATATTTGTCCCTTTTGGACTAGCTTATTTCACTCAGCATGATATTTTCCAGCTTCCTCTATTTTGTTGTAAATGCCTGGATTTCATTGTTTTTTACTGCTGTATAGTATTCGATAGAGTACATATCCCATAGTTTCTTTATCCAGTCATCCGTTGATGGACATTTAGGTTGCTTCCATGTCTTAGCTATTGTGAATTGAGCTGCAGCAAATATTGAGGTGCAAATGGCTCTTTTTTTCTCCCCTTTAATTCCAATTGGGTAAATTCCAAGGAGTGGGGTGGTTGGGTCCTGTGGTAGTGCTACATTCAGGTTTCTGAGGATTCTCCAGGCTGTCTTCCATAGTGGCCTTACCAGTTTGCATTCCCACCAACAGTGGATTAGTGTCCCTTTTTCTCCACATCCTTGCCAGCATCTGTTGTTGGTTGATTTCTGTATGTAAGCCAATCTAACCGGAGTGAGGTAGAATCTCATTGTGGTTTTGATCTGCATTTCCCTGATGGCTAGGGATCCTGAGCATTTTTTCATGTGTCTTTTGGCCATTTGGATTTCCTCTTTTGAAAAATGTCTGTTAAGGTCCTTGGCCCATCTTTTTATTGGGTTGTTTGTTTTGATTCTGTGGTGTTTTTTGATCATTGTGTAGATTCTAGTTGTTAATCCTTTATCTGCTGTGTGGTTTGTGAATAACGTCTCCCATTCTGTTGGTTGCCTCTTCGCTTTCCTGACTGTTTCCTTTGCTGATAAGAAACTCTTCAATTTAAGGTAATCTCATTTGTTTATTTTATCTTTGATTACCCGTGCCTGTGGGGTCATCTCCAGGAATTCTTCGCCTATTCCGATATCCTGAAGGGTTTCCCCTATGCTCTCAATTAGTTTCATGGTGTCGTGGCACATCTCTAGTTCTTTGATCCATGTTGAGTGGATTTTTGTATAAGGTGTAAGGTAGGGGTTTTGCTTCATTTGTCCATTCATGTGGACATCCAGTTTTCCTAGCACCATTTGTTGAAGAGGCTGTCCTTGTTCCAGGGGTTGGTTTTAGTTCCTTTGTCGAATATGAGTTGGTTATAGATGTTTGGATTGATCTCTGGTGTTTCTATTCTGTTCCATTGGTCTATCCATCTGTTTTTGTACCAGTACCAGGCTGTTTTGATTATTACTGCCCTGTAGTATGCCTTGAAGTCTGGAATTGTGATGCCTTCGGCCTTGTTTTTGTTGTAGAGGATTGCTTTAGCTATTCTTGGTCTCCTGTTTCTCCATATGAATTTCAGCATCGTTTTTTCTAGGTCTTTGAAGAATGACTTTGGTATTTTGATTGGTATTGCATTGAACTTGTAAATTGCTTTTGGGAGAATGGACATTTTGATGATATTGATTCTTCTAATCCATGATCATGGCAGGTTTTTCCATTTTTTTGTGTCGTCTTCTATTTCTTTCTTTAGTGTTTTGTAATTTTCATCATAGAGATCTTTGGCCTCCTTGGTTAAATTTATTCCAAGTTACTTTATTGTTTTTGTGGCTATCATGAATGGGATTGATCTTAGTAGTTCTTCCTTGGCCCTGGCATTTTCTGTGTATACAAAGGCTGTTGATTTCTGAGCGTTGACTTTGTATCCTGCTACTTTACCAAACTCTTCTATGAGTTCCAGCAGTCTCTTATAGGAGTTTGTCGGGTACCCTATATATAGTATCATGTCATCTGCAAATAGGGATAGTTTAACTTCCTCCTTTCCCATTTGTATCCCTTTAATTTCTTTTTCTTGCCTGATGGCTCTGGCTAACACATCTAGGACTATATTGAATAGCAATGGTGAGAGTGGGCATCCCTGTCTGGTGCCAGTTTTCAATGGAAATGCCTCCAACTTTCCCCCATTCAATATGATGCTGGCCTTTGGTTTATCATAGACTGCCTTAATTGTGTTGAGGAATGTTCCTTCTAACCCCAATTTGCTTACGGTTTTCATCATGAAAAGGTGTTGTAATTTGTCAAATGCTTTCTCTACATCTATTGAGATAACCATATGATTTTTGTTTCTCAATTTATTAATGTGATGTATTACATTGATTGACTTTCGAATATTGAACCATCCCTGCATACCAGGGACAAATCCCACTTGGTCCGGGTGAATGATCTTTCTGATGTGTAGTTGGATTTGGTTTGCCAGAATTTTGTTGAGTATTTTTGCATCTATGTTCATCAGGGAGATAGGTCTGTAGTTTTCTTTCTCTGTTGTGTCTTTTCCGGGCTTAGGAATTAAAGTGATATTGGCTTCATAGAAAGAATTTGGAAGGATTCCCTCTCTTTCAATTGTTTTGAATAATTTGAGAAGAACGGGGGTTAGTTGTTCTCTAAATATCTGGTAAAATTCGGCAGTGAAGCCATCCGGTCCTGGGCTCTTCTTTTTTGGTAGTGCGTTTATTACTGATTCAATTTCTTCCATGGTTATGAGTCTGTTTAGATTTTCTATATCTTCACGGCTCAGTTTAGGAAGGTTGTATTTGTCCAGGAATCTATCCATTTCTTCCAGGTTCCCCAATTTGTTAGCATACATCTCTTTGTAGTAGTTTCTGATGATTACTTTTATTTCTGTTGTGTCTCTTGTTACATTTCCATTACTATCTTTGATTTTTACAGATTTGGGTCTTCTCTCTCCTTTTTTGGTTAGTTGGGCCAATGGTGTGTCAATTTTGTTTATTTTTTCAAAGAGCCAGCCCCTGGTTTTGTTGATCTTTTGTATTTTTTTTTCAATTCTGTTTATTTCTTCTCTGATCTTTAGTATTTCTTTCCTCCTTTTGGATTTGGGCTTGATTTGCTGCTGTTTTTCTAAATCCTTGAGGTGCATGGAGAGTTCATTTGTTTGGTTCCTTTCCAGATTCTTGATGTAGGCACTAATTGCTATAAACTTTCCTCTTAGCATTGCTTTTGCTGTGTCCCACAGGTTTTGATAGGTTGTTATCATTTTCATTTGTTTCTAGAAATCTTTTGATTTTTCTTTTAATTTCTTTGATGACCCGCTATTCATTTATGATCATGTTGTCCATTCTCCAAATATTTGAATATGGTGTAGAGATTCTTGGGTTGTTGATTTCGAGTTTCACTGCGCTGTGGTCTGAGAAGTTGCATGGTAAAGTTGCAATTTTTTTGAATTTGTTGAGGCTCCCTTTATGGCCTATCTTATGGTGAATCCTAGAGAATGTTCCATGTACTGGGGAGAAATACGTGAACTCTGTGTCTGTGGGGTGGAAGGTTTTGAAGATATCTATTAGGTCTATTTGGTCTATGGTGTCAATTGTTGAATTTCTGTCTGGTTGATCTGTCCATTGGTGAGAGTGGGGTGTTGAAGTCCCCTGTTACTATTGTATTTGAGTCTATATCTCCCTTTAAATCCTTTAGTAATTCTTTCAGGTAGCCATGCGCCCTGTAGTTAGGTGTGTATACATTTATAATAGTAATGTCTTCCTGTTGGATCGATCCTTTAATCATTATATAGTGCCCTTCTCTGTCTCTTTTAATAGTTTTTATGTTAAAGTCTATTTTGTCTGATATTAGGATGGCCACACCAGCTCTTTTTTGATTTCCATTAGCTTGGAGTATCTTTTTCCATCCTTTCACTTTCAGTCTGCGTGCATCTTTGCTGATAAGGTGTGTCTCCTGAAGGCAGAATATAGATGGATTATCTTTTTTGATCCAATCAGCTAGTCTGTGTCTCTTTGTAGTGGAATTAAGACCATTCACATTCAATGTGATTACTGTTAAGTACTGTCTTTTCCCCTTCATGTTTCCTGAAACGAGCTGTTTATGTATTTTGATAAACTTTGTGTGTTACTCTACATTCACTTTTTTTTGTAGTGAAGTTCTTGTTTTTGTATTTCTGTGTGCAGCATATCTTTGTGCAAGTGTTGTAGGGTTGGATGCATGGATACAAATTTTTTCAGTTTCTGTTTGTTGTGGAAGATCTTTATTTCCCCTTCATTCATAAATGATAGCTTTGCAGGGCATAGTATTCTAGGTTGGCATTGTTTGTCTTTTTAAACTTGAAATATATCATGCCATTGTCTCCTTGACTGTAGTGTTTGCAATGAGAAGTCTGGGGTGAG